GGGAACCTATTTGAGCTATCATAAAATCTTTTAGAGAAAAATGATCTAATTGTTTAAATTCTTAGTGCTAAGAAACTGGCTACTGTGCTTGAGAGAAATCTTCACCAAAGTGATCTGGAACCTCTGAGGGGTAAAAACAATATATTTCTCTTTTTGTGAGATGCAAATGCCTATGGAATGGGATAGCCCACTTCAGAGGCAGTAGGTTACCTCTTGGTAATCAAGGAAAAAAACAACAACAAAATAACACAAAATGTTCAAGCTGGGCACAGTAGTACCTACTTTAGCTGCAGCATTTGAGAGGTTGAAGCTGTACAATTATGAGTTTCAGGCTAACCTGAGCTATATAACATAATTCTGTCTCAAAAACAAAACAAATAGACAAGAAAGAAGTGAAGAGTTCAAGGGTAGAAAAATCTTTTTCTAACTTTTATCTTCCTCTCTCCTTCTTCATCACCACCCTTTAATGCATGATCAGTTATTCAGTCCTTCCAGCATCATTTCCCAAGGGGTTCCCTGTTTCCAGGAGTCTTGATACATCCTTGTATTTCACTGGGTTTCTTAGATGGTCTTATGTTAGGTTAACTTTAGACCCACATAGGAGAGGTGTATCATCATTTGATTTTTCAAATGATGACATTTTCTATGAGAACGTTTTGTTATGGCAAATTTTCATTGTTAACTTGACAGGATGTAGAATCTTCTACTACAATCCTGGGCATGTCTGAAAGCCTGTTTCCAGAGGAAGACCCACCTTGAACATGGCAGTACCATGTTCAAGACTAACATGGCCTAAGACTGAATAAAAGGAGGAAAAGGCTCTATGATGCTGTGAGAACGTTCTACCTCATAATGTTTCCACTACCATGGACACCCTCCCCACCATCACACACTCTGAGCTCAGGTAATTCCCAGCTTATGTTACATTTTGTAGGTGTTTGGTCACAGTGATGAGAAAACCAACTAATGGAAAATTGGTCCTAAGAAGTGAGGTCATTAATGGAAATCACTTTACCTTGGGAACTGGTCTGCAGAAAGAATACAGAATAATTTGAAATTGTGGGTGAGAAAACTCAATTGTGATAGGTACAGTTTAATAAGCCGTTCGGATGGGGATTTGGAAGACTGGAATGCCTAAGAGAAAGATAGATCATGGCGGCCAGCCCAGGAGGTTTCAGAGGCTTTCAATGGGAAGGATTTCAATGGGAACTGGACCACTGACCATTCATGCTACATTGTACATAGCAATGAATCAGGCAACATCCAGCCAACATCCTGAACATTTGAGTTAGGAGGAATTAACAAGTGATGAACTAAGTTATCTGGAAGAGAGTATTTCAAAACAGTGTATCATTGAGATGTGGCATGATTGTATGTACCGACTGCTTAGGTCTACAGTAAGAGGACACACACACACACACACACACACACACACACACACACACACTGTGCAGTTTGGTGAGGAAAGGGCCACAAGTTTAAAGATGCATAATAGGTAAGGTGAAAGCAACTTTCCTTGTTAGATAAGTTAGTGTCATTAAAGAGAAACATCCTACTCTCTGCATGGGGATAGGTGCCGGGAGGGAAAGATACCAGCTATTGTATACCCCACATTCATTTGAAAAGAGTTTGAGTTGAGAATGCTATTGCAAGGATCCACTGTCTCAAAAATAGCCAGCCAGAGGAGTATTTCCCCAGTTCCCACTTATGCACTAAGGCCAATATGGCTGTGGTAGAAGAGGAACAGACTATCATAAGCGGGAGACAGAAGCTGGCAGTGTAGTCCAGTTGGTGATGGCTTTGAAACCCTACAAAACATGTGATTTACACAGAGGCTTGTGCCAAGATTCCAGAAAGTCACTGAAGTCAGGCAATGTGGAGTAGGGTTAGATTCCCTGAAAAGATACTCTGAGGATCCATTGCATGAAGCTTTGAAGATGAATCCTAACTCGAAATGGAAAGGCCAGTGTTGGAGATTCCAGGACTATGGGATATCCACCAAGGAAAGGTAAGAGCCATGGAGTGAAGCTGGCCCTAGAGAGCAGAACTAGAGAGGAGGGCTACCTCAATCCTTTGGATCTCAGAAATGCGATCAGAAACCCATATGCTGGACATGCAGCTGAGAAATATGGTGTTTGCCCTGCTGGATTTCAGTCTTGGTCTGGTCATATTTTTGCTTGCTGCATTCTGCCTTAGAAAAGGAGTGGGGTTTTTTGGTTTGTTTGTTTTTTCTGTGCTTTGATTTTACAGGGGCTCATGGTTTAGAAGAAATACATGTCTCAGAGTGAAGTGTAGCCTTGGCCTTTCAAACAATATTGGAAATGTTAGAACATATGGCGATGAACTAAATGCTATGTACTACATACTGAGGTAGCCATAAAAGCCTTTTCAGGGGCCAGGGATGGAATAAAGTGACATGTATGGTGTCAAAGTTGACAAGGGGTTGACTTATAATGGTGAGCTATGTTGCCAACTTGACTGGATCGAGAACCAACTATAAGACACACCTCTAGGCATAACAGTGAGGACATTTCCAGAGGTTAACTGAGAAGGAAGACTCTGAATTATGAACAAAACCATCCTGTGGGCTGGGGTCCCAGAGTAAAAAGAGGGAGAGAGAGAAGAGAGAAAAGAGAAAGAGTCAGCAGAGCACCACCGTTCTCCTTCCTCTGCATCCTGTTCACTGAAACGTGTGGGGTCCTAGCCACACACTGTGACACAGTAAACATCACTATGACTTGCCCACCATAGTGGACTGTATTCCTCTGAACTGGAAGCACAAAGAAGTCCTGCACCTAGTATGCTTCTTTTTGTCTGGTATTTGGCTACAGTGATAGGGAAAGTTAACTAGTGCTGCTACTTTCAAGTGTCCATTCTGAAAAAGTAAGCCTCATTTCCCAGATCTGGATCTAACTACATGTCACAAAATAGGGCAATAATAGGTGCTTGTACATAGAGCACTTGCTTATTAAGTCTACATGTTTCCATGAAGCCTAGCACCTTAAGACAATATGCACATATCACTTTACACACCTACTGAAGGTCAGGAAGAGCACTTTTAGCTCAGCATTCTCACCCAAGGTACCTGGTGAGATTGTACTCATCGCTAACGTTATCTGGTCTGGCAGATGTTTCTATATATTGGTGGGCTGACGACTCCATTAACCACAACTCGGTCTCTCACAGACTCTTAGTTTCCTTACTTCCCATTTCCTCATCGCAATGGCTCCAAGAAAGCTTTCTTGATGACCCAAGACATAAGTTTTTTAATAACCTACCTTCAGAACTGACACCTCATCCCATCTGCCATATTCATCTTAGAAGAAGCCATATGGTCCAGTGCACACTTAAAGGGACATTTATGCTATCCTCTCAAGAGAAGGGTTTCAAAGACTATTGTAAAGTTTTCATTTTTATAAATGATATTTCAAAGGCTAGAGATGGGGAGGTATGTTCGGCAAGTTATGAAGGAAGAGTCCATGTTCTTCTCAGCATATCACTCTCCAGGAACTGCTCCTGCTTACTCATTTGGCATCACACCAAATCCTGTCCTTGGAGACTTTAAATATAGGCATAAGTTTTGTTTGAGAGGAGAAACTGAGTAAATCTATTAAGGATCTAAGTTTTAGATTTCTTTTTGGTCTCTCATTCCTCTTCCAGGGTATGAGACAGAAGTCTTCTGAATGTGGAGGGAAGGGGAGAATGTCTGTGCCAATATCAAGAGTTTGTATGACCCACTTGAGTAAAAATTCTAGTTTCTACGGCATGCCTTAGAAAGGGAGCTATAGGCCAGGAATGTAAACCCAATTATGCACTTCATGGACTGCCCCCTAAGTTTTGAACACAGAGCCCTTCATGCAAAGAGGATATATACAGCTCAGAAGACTGCTGCATGGTTAATACAGACAGAAAGAGCTGGCTTGACATAAGGGCAAGATGACACTTATATTTAATCACCGAGGTTGAGATAAGCTGGAAGTCTGAGAATAGGTACAAGTACAAGCCAGAGATGGGTATAGAAGGTAGAAGCCACTTATAGAGCAGTAGAAAATAAAGAATGAACTTCAAACTAGGTGGCGCTTTTCAGTGTAGGATGACAGGCAGCCACTTAACACTCATAAATACAGCTGTTTTAGGTAGATATGGTTGAAACACCTAGACTCCGAGGCTCCATTTCTCTCCCCTTGCTCCTAGAGTTTCGTTTATTTCTCATGGTTACTTGTATTAAGCTTATTTTATGATTAAGTCAAACATGAGGATGAAAATGTAACTTTCCTCCACATTTAGTTGCAATTAAAATTTAAAAACTCTTAAAATAACTTTCTGTATGGACTATATACCCTTAGTAGATTTCTAATAGATAAAACTCAACTTCAAAACCTTCTATATTTTGTTTTTCTTCAATCAAAAATGGCAAATAACCAATCATTTTTAAGTTTAATTAAATGTTAATTTTGTCTAATTCTTTTATGTATCAGAAATAAACAATACTCTGGGACAAATTGTTCTTCACAATGGCTTCCCAAAGTGTTTAGCTATTAGTATAATTGTTTACTCGCATAAAATACATATTATCTTTCTTTGTTTTATTAAAACATTGGTCCTTTTTATACTGAACCTAGTAAGATTAAAACAAACTACTATTACAGTTTTGTAGGAAATATGCAACTTCTTTGAGGTGATTTCACTGAATTTAAACTTATTCCCTATACACTCTTAGACATAGGAATGAAACAGAACAATGTTTTCTCTGTTAGAAATGTTCGCAGCTGGAAGCAGCACAAAACTTTGGACTCCAGACTTGTTACCTTGGATGCAAAGTGTGCAAATGTCAAGAGGAAACCAAACTGGAGAAATCTGATACAATTAAGATGCCCCACAACTCTAGATCTTCAGGTCAGGAACTGAGTGAGCATCAATACTGGCATTACCTAAGGCAGAATTCACCTCCAATGGGTAACGTGCCAACAACCAGTCTTTTTAAAAACACATGTATACTATTCCAGTTTTACTAATAACTTTATTTAAATAAGACACAGGAACTTCTATACTGAAAAAAATACAAAACAGAAGCCACACATTTCTTGTGTAAAGCCATATTATATAACTTGAATACTGTTCAGCGCAGTGGCTAAAATTAAACAGTACACCTATATACAAAATTTAAACAATTTCTGACAAGTTTCTACAGCTGGATGTAGGATACATTTGAGCTCAACAACTTCTGGGAAATTTACATGGCAAAGCATAAGCTTCAACACATTTGGTTCAAAACTTTAATATATGCTAAAAACAAATGTACAACACAAACAATATTTAGTTTCTCATGAGAAAATAAAAGCACATCACTATAAATATCGTACATAGATTTCATCACCAAAAAAGGTATATTCAGTCCATCTTTCTGAAATTGATGATACTATTGCATCTTAGACAAAAGCAGAGCATACGCTCAACACATCATGTAATGCTAACCCAGATATCAGAAGTTAAATGGAGCTCATATTTATCTTACGGAACTAGTAATTTTCTTCCTTTAACCATAATCTACAAAATATAGTATTTTCATCAAGGCCTGAGATTATTAGGGTTAAAGGTGTCTGCTGCTGAAAAGATTGTTTTAAAAGGTTCCCCTGTGAAAATGGCAAAAGTCAACTTAGTCTTTTTCTCCATGACAGTCTCTATAACACTGACTGTGAGCCAGAACACACCTTCAGGAGAGAGTATTACTGCAAACTTTGGTGGAAAGGAGATTGAGGTGAGGAAATAACACACAGAATACACACATCCACACATCTGGGTGCGCATGTATGCATATAAATACACAGCATTTTGTAAAAATTAAAATGGTGTCGCTTTATCATCACATCCTTCTACTCATCGACTCCTTGGAAGAGTCAGAGAAAAACTCAGGAATGACCTAAGGAAACCTGAACACTAACTGTAGGCAACTTGTTCCCCTAATTCTAAAAACAAAACAAAACAAAACAAAAGCCAACCAACCAAACAAAAAATGTGCCACACACTTTCTGTGGAGATGAGAGAACGCTAGGCTCTAACTGAACTGAAAGGGATGGAATACAAATACAAAAACAAAAGCTTCCCTTTACTTTTGCATAAGCTGTGCTGCAGAAAACAATGTCTGAAGTCAGGCTCTCCAGGTGACCCGTCAGGAATCCTACAGCTCTCTTCACACTTTGTGGAGAACTTCTGTCAAGTCTGCAAGTTCAAGGCTAGTTACTTGGGGTTCTGCTCCACTCCACACATTCCAAGTCTTAAGAAAATTATTCATGATAGTGTTATCTGAGGCTTAAATGAGACAGCTTTAAGCTATTGCTCTTGTGAGTCAACAAGAAATCTGCTTGCTTATGCTGCATTGGTTCTGAGACATACACATTCTCTCTACATGAATACAACTCATTCATCAAATACTTGAGGAAAACAGGAACCAAAATGTCTCACTTTGTAACCAGCAAATTAAAATTTCCTAAAATGAAGCTACACATAAATATGTCTTTAGATAAAAATAGTAGCAATTATGACCCCAATGGCCAATATAAACAAAAATCCTTAATTATTTATTCCTGCAAAACTTCACTTGCTTTGAAATTAAATCCAGCCATTCTTGTATTTAAATTTCATCACACACAATGTGGAATGTTTATGTATCATCTACTGAAGCTTCATTTGCAACATTGTAACAGTCATTAACTGAGCAACACAACTTTTTTTTTTTTTAAAGCCACATTTACACATGTTGAAACAGTGAATGCAACAGTTGTTCTACTGGTAACCACATGACAAAAGTGATGTTATACACCACAGATTTGCTGGTTCTCCTCATGTTCCCCATACCCAGGATTGCCATCTCCTAGGGATGAATGCACTTCTTATTCTAATGTGGAATGGAATGATGAAAAGGAAATGCATAAAATAAGGAAAGGCAAAAGAGTGATGTTCCCTCTTAGCTTTGTAGCTGTGACATATTTAATATCCCAATATGACATACATTCCAAGTTACCTGAGTTTAGACTTCAACTGAAGTACCTGAAGCTAGGCCATAGGGTGGGCACTGTGCAACTGTTGTGGCCATTTTTTTTTTTGCATTGTATGTATTATAGAAGTTAGAAACAAACACCTGGATCAATTGTAAACATAATCCTGAAGTACAGTATCTTCCATAGGACAAAACACAGCAAGACATTTTCTACTTAGACAGGCAACTTTTTGAAATAGAGCTTATTCATACTGAAAAATTTGGAACAAAACACAGGACACAGTACTAATCTGTCAGACATACTATGAAATGCATAGTCTCCACTTAAATGCTGAATGACACACACATTTTGCAAGCATTACTGCTTTCCACAAAAACTGCTGAATAGAAGTAGGTCCCTGCCAAGATCAGTGTTAATAGCTATTTTTATGATGCTAAGTATTTGCTGTTGGTGGTGGTGTTTAGAAAGTTTGTCGCTCCATGCAGATAGATGTCTGAGATCTCATTCCTGATCCATGGAACATGGGTGGAGGCCAGCTCCCCCTTGCTTTAGATCATCACATAGTTCTGAGTGGAGATGTGTTCCTCCGCCTGCAAATCCTGTAGGAGCTGCTGCTGAGACGGCTGCTGGACAGAGGGCTCCAGGGAGTCTGCTCTGCTGGTGTCATCAGAAAGAGATGTGAAGGAGACCCGGGAGGAGAGCTGCTCTACCGTTAGTGTTGCCAGGGCCGAGCTCTGGCCAGAATTAGGAGAGTTCTTGAGCATCAGGTCAGAGGCAGGTAAGAGAGGGCCCAGAAGTTTTACAGGACAGAAAGCTGATCCGGTTGGGATGAAATTAACTTTGTTTTTGTCAGGACATGAAAAGAGAGGGGCCGAGATAGGCTGACGAGACCTAAAACCATAAAACAGAATTAGTTTTCGGACAACTATAAAGTACTTTGTGCATAAATTGGAGTTTTCTGAAACAGCTAGAATATGAATGACAGGGATGAGTTATGTGCACACAGAGGAGAAACATCTTCCATAGCACAGGTCAGCTGGGAGACTATCACATACAGAGCACTGAAATGACATTTAAGGAAAAAAAAAACTTCCAAAAGGGCCAGGCAAATTTTTAGAGATCTTCAATTTGCTTCCAATCATTAAGGAATATAAAAGAAATGCTACACTGTATTTGAATATTATACACATTTAGGATGAACATCACAAATAAGAAGTATAAATAGAGATGTTATTTATCATTTACTTGATTTTAAGCCCTTTAACTTTTTCTGTATCTTTAGATATATGTCCTTGGGTACAGATGGGAAAAAACTGTTTTCTGTGGTCTCTCAATCAGCCAAAAGAACAGAGTCCGTATCCCCACCAAACCCACTCTCCGAACTAAACCAACAACTAACTCCCATTCAGCCTCTGTTCCCTCTGGGATGTGAGAGCAGCAGTCTGCATTTGGTACCCACAGAGACAAAAGAATGAATGATTTACACCAAGAGCCACATAACCATCTTCTGAGAAATTCTAGATGTCCAAGATTTACAACAGGAATCTCTTTTTCTAATTTAATTTCTAACCTGTCCACATTGAAAATTTAAAATAGAAAGGGCAGAAAACATGAATTCATGAATAAGCATGCTGGCTATGTCTACAGAAAAGGAAACTACTTTCCCTTTGACTTGCAGAATCACAGACCATCTGTAAGCTACTTGCATGTGGTCACTAGTCTTCCTCCTAAATGTATTTCTGTCAGTCAGCTAATCTAACAGTTTTTGAAAGAAAAATCTTAAAGATTAAAAATGGAGTTTTTCAAAATAGAAAAATAAAAGGAGAAAGAAAAATAGTAAGCAAAAATGCAAAGAGAAAGAAAAGAGAAGGAAAGGAAACAGAAAGGAAAGAGAGACAGGAAGGAGAAAGAAAAGGAAGGGAAGGCGGGGCAAAGGGGAGACCAAGGGAGACAGTTCAGCCATAAGGTTGGATTTCTCAGTTTGTAGTACTGGCTAATGCATTGCTAGCAGCCCTCCAATCCTCACCATAGGACCTTTTGTTTAATCAATTCTCTTTTTCAAATTTGCTTTTGGAATAAGTATCAGCTGGATAGAGGAGTTGATTAATCTGTAATCAACAGCTCAGTAAAAAGTTTCAGATCCCAGCTGACAGAGAAGACATTACTTACGCCATTTCCTCAAAGACCTTCACTCGCTCACATCCCTCTGGGGGCTCGCGTTTGAACATGTAGCTGTTGTTTGGTTTGGGAGATGAAGCATACTTGGGTAACGGTGAGCTACTCCCACTGTCTGTAAATTTAAAGCAGTTATATTAACTACGCGTTGAAAGTGCTGTAAATTAAGCTTGATTTCCAAACAGACCTTTTTTTTTCCCACAAAGCCAGCCTCCTGTCATTGCAAGGGTATTTCTAACTGCCTTGTGTAGTACTTTTTTTTTTTTTAAATAAAAACTTAAATTCAACAGTAATCTGCCAGACCACAGAATATAAAAGGATGACACTTTAGCCTAGAAAACTTCATTTCGAGAAAATCACAGTTGTAATCTTTAAAAAAATGTAAATTAATGCAGTAATATGAATTATAAGATTATAATAAGGAAGGGGTTCTCTACATGAGCTCTCATTGTCTAACCAATTTGTATATTTTTGTATATGAATAATTTTTATTACAAAAGTTCCTAATAAATGACACTTTTATAACACCAGGAATAATAACCACACAGGGTAAAACAAGGTTTGCAACATGTCTTCCATTTATCCATAATAATTTTAAGAATGGTAATTTGCCCAAAATTTTGCCTTTAGAATCTATAAAATAGAGATTTCAGCGCAGCTTGCATTTTTGACACTAATGACATGAAAAATTCAGAAACATCTCCACCAAATATGTTTTCCCCATATTTTTTGACCCAAAACAAAATGGTCTATTCATAAAAAGCTATAAAACCTATGTGCAACTTCTCCTTTTCCTATCTGGCAAAACTGTCTGGAAATCTAAGTCCACTAAGATGTGTCATAACAGATCTGTATAATATAATAGTCCTATTTACCTAAATTCTGACTTAATTCAAACCAATGCTCACTGCTAAAATACCACATACATGATCTATTGAGATGTATAATTTCCATGAATTTTGAAAAATGGTATTAACAACAAATTACATTACAATTTTGGTGACTTGCTTTAGTTTAGGATACGAAGAACAGCCCAGCATTCAGAAACTGAATAATATGAACATTTTTATCATCACAAGGTACACAATACATGCTTAGAAAGTATACACTCTAACACTTTATTTTGTGCATGTTTCAACTGTTAGTCTTAGAAACAAAGATCTTGCTTATATTTGAAAGTGGCTGTGTCCTTGGCTGGGAAATCACACACTACTAGGAAAGCTACAAGCACACAGTTTATCACTATCAGACATATCCTTACAGAATATGCATAGACTAACCTCCTGGAATGCATTAAATAACAGAATGAGGTTTAGTTTTTATAAATTTAATGATTCGTTACATATTATTTATAGATTTATTTAGATTTAATGATTTTCTTAGACTCAGCGTTTACCTGTTTCTTACACACAGAAGAAAGGAAGGGAAGAGGACCTCTTGACTAGGTTGATGCAGCGCAATCAAGAGCCCAAGTTTAGTGCCGTCTCTAAGTAAAGTTATACTATTAGGACTGCTCAACTTCTAACCAGTTGTGAATGAGACCTTGAGTTTCCCTCTCAACCTCAACCTTACTTTTCTAACAAATGGGTGAATAAGGCATGACTAACCTCATGAAGATTACTGAGGAGTACAGCACAGCCCACCAGTAAACGGAATCCACTTAAAGCCATGATTTTGAAAACTTTAACAAGGCTTTCCTGCCATCAATTGAGATGTGGCTACATTGTATCAAGCACCCACCTTATTATCACGCAAGAAATGTCACATTGACCTCAATTCCATAACCAAGCATATGACACAATTTCTCTTTACACTTTTATTATAATTTCAAAGGACTCTCCCAAAATTGAAACTAGTTGTGAGCTAAATAACTTGAAAATGAATACTTTTTTTCCTGCCAGTATTTTAAAATACATTATTTTTTGTCTCAAAGGTTTTTTTCTTATAATTTTAGAGTTAGCAAGTGTGTTTTAACTTATCCACTTAAACATTCATGTTCTTTCTTTTTGTAGGGCAGTGTTAATGTTAAAAACAAACATAAATATGTTCAATGCCTTAAATCTTTTTGCTTTTTCAGTAAAAACCGTTTGGTTATATATGAGTATTTACATTAAAAGACAATGTGAAATAATGATAAGCAAATATTTGGTAAATCTGATTTATTTCTATCAAGTTAGCATATAACTTAATTGCTTATTATTAAAGATCATACCTATGCATGCAAAATATTAACACAAAATACAAGTAATTTCCCAAATATTTTCAAACAAATTAAAGCCTGGAAAATTTTAAAGCATTAAAACCTGGAATTTTATACTGAAAAAGTATTCATTAAATCATGTGTATCTTTACCTTTCAGAAATGACTTTTAGTATCTCATATACTACGTTCTATGACTTAGAGTCCCAGTATAAAGGTAATTCACATATATGACTATTGAGTCAGGTACATAAACCCTTTATTATGGGTTCTATGATAGCTCTAAGTTTTTACATTTTATTCCTATTAGATTATTGAATAAATGTAATTTTAAAGCAAGTAATAATAACTTATGATATCTTTGTTTAGTTTTGTGAGATGCTGGGAATTGAATGTAGGGCCATACACATGCTAGATAACTGTCCTACCACTCAGCTACACGCCTAACCCAAGCAGTGATTCATAACCCTACAAGATTCACTAGCATTTTACATTTCAAAGTTCACATCTCATCTCTCAAAGGAGCTTGGCTTTTTTATTTTCTCCTTTTGAAAAATCTTCTAAGTGTATCTGAAATACAGGCGAATTTGAGAAATGAGAGTTAAGAGAATTAAGAATTCTGGTTTGCAATCAGACTACCTGACTTCTATCTGTGCCTACTTACCCTATTGGATCATTTCTGGCTTTTGATCCATAAAACAGTAATTAACTAATGAGCCACAGATGTTTTAAGATATAATATAAAAGGACTAAGAAGTGCCTAAACCACAGAAAGTTCTCAAAAATACCAACAATAACAAATCTCTAATCTGCAAATTTTAAGCAAGTATGCCATTCAAAACTTGACTATTCCACTCCCTCTCCAGCAGATGCTACTAAATTAAGTGTTGTTTTAAATAGACTGACCCACAATGAAAGTAAGGTTGTGTGTGTGTGTGTGTCCCTGCACACATATGCTCGTGTATAAGTGCATCTGAGTGCATGTGTCAAAAGACGCCAGAGGAAAATCTGAGGTTGTGTGTAGTAAGAGTAGCTGGCTAGGCAGTGATGCTCAAGGACCTACATGTGTCTTCCAACCCATTGCTGAGATTGCAAGCACAAACGACTATGCTAGGGCTGGAGAGATGACTCAGTGGTTAAGAGCACTGACTGCTCTTCCAGAGGTCCTGAGTTCAAATCCCGGCAACCGCATGGTGGCTCACAACCATCCGTAATGAAGATTGGATGCCCTATTCTGGTGTGTCTGAAGACAGCTACAGTATATTCATAAATAAAATAAATAAATAAATTTTAAAACAAAAAACAAACGACTATGCAAGGCTGTTTTTTACCTGGCTTCTAGGGATCAAAGTCAAGTCCTCATGTTTGCATGGCAAGCACCTGATAGACTGAATCATCTCCACAGCACCGAAGATCTTTACAATACCAGACTCTCCAGGAATGAATTCTGCTAGCTAATGACCATGAAGGCTAGATTGGGAGGTGTAGTTTGTTTGTTTGTTTTTCTTTCTTTCTTTCTTTCTTTTTTTTTTTTTTTGGTTTTTCGAGACAGGGTTTCTCTGTGTAGCCCTGGCTGTCCTGGAACTCACTCTGTAGACCAGCTGACCTGGAACTCAGAAATCCACCTGTCTCTGCTGGGATTAAAGGCGTGCGCCACCACTGCCTGGCTGGGAGGTGTAATTTCTTGAAAGTATAACCAATGCCCAAACCATTAAGAATTCTTTGGACTACTTTGAAAAAAAAAATATTTTGAGAATATATACAGCAGTAACCAACCAAGAAAGAAGAATATTCATTCCCAAATAGGTAGTAGTTTACTAGAAAAATGGATTTGAACAAAAATATTGAAATAAAATATTAATATAATAAAAGCCTAAGTTAGCCTATTGAATTAGGCTAGAAATATGACTGACTAGATACCTAAGCCTAAACAGAATTGCTGCTTTGATCAAAATTCTACATGACCAAAATTTACCAATTGTCAACAGGAGTAATTGTAAGGAAAGATGACATGTTTTTTAGTAAAGCTATTTTCTTTAATTTCACCAAGAAATGAGAACTTTGTGGTTCCCCAACTCCTTCACCAAAAGTACCTATGCCTACGTTTGGCTGCCTTTTTATTCATTAAGAGAATCACACTCTTCCTGAACATTAAAAAAGCACAATATATAATATAGTAACTTAAAACGACACCAGTATTTTCAAAACAGTAAATAAGATATAACCTTTTAAATATGAACATACTCTAAAGAAAGTTCTTGTAAGAATACTTTTAAAATCTCTACTTAGCACCATACCTGCCAGATATGACTGAATTTGTTGAGGAAAAAGCAATGTACTAAACTTGGTTTCCCTCGTTACTGAAAGCAAGGTAACAGGGTTAGGGTTAGGGTTAGGGTTAGGGTTAGGGTTACAAGTTAGTAAGCAGGTAACAGCAGATCAAGTAGAATACATATGTAGGAGTGTTCAAATCTTCCATTTGCTTATATTCTAGACTGAGCTATAACAAATACAACTGACTTATACTTACTAATTACTTTGAATTATGAATAATGTAACATTTACATAGACCTGTCCTATTATCTGATATTGGTATGGTTCAACTGTAAAAATTATAGAATGATAAGAACATGGCAGGTTCTAAATTCACATAATGTATTTCCAGACACTGGAAATATGTGCAATGTTTCATGTTGTCTTGAAAAAGATAAATGGGCAATGATCTCAGTGTGAGAAATCTACAACTGGGCAGTTTTTAACATGTTCTATAAAGTCCTTTGCTGAAATATTTTCAATCTGTAGTTTTACCATTAAGAAGTTCTTTTAACACAACAGGGCAGTTTTAACATGTGATATAAAGTTCTTTGTAGGAACAGCGTTTTTAATCCGTAGTTTTACCATTAAAAAGTTCCTCCA